TACCCCAAAGCAAAGAAAGCAAGGCAGGGTACAGCCCTAAAAACAGCACCAATTACATACGCAGAAGCTTTTATTTTAGGGTGAACAATACCTCCCGCTCAATTTTCACGGTACTGACATTGCCCCATGTTTGCCACCCTTTCCTCGCTGGAGGTGACGGCGGACACTTATCTTCTGTGACTCGGCTGCTAATCGGGGCGAGGCTCGGAGAACACTGCCCGGTCAAGTGGGTGCAGACACCGAGCCCCCGAGGTTCCTTCCTTCCTGGGGGGCGCGTGGTGGCAGTGGGCTCCCGCACTGCCCGATCTCCGTGCCATGGCGGCCCAGCCACCCGCGTCCTGAGGAGGACCTGGACGAGTCTGTGAAGGTTTTGACAAAGGCGGGTGCTCAGAGGAATGCTGGTCTGGCAGGATTTCCACACGTGCAGCGCCTGGACCCCTGTCCAGAAGCCGAGGCCGGTCTTGTGTGCTAGGCTGGGCGTTTTGCAGGTGCGTCAGGGACGCAGTCCTTAGTAAGACTCACAGCTCTGGGTGCTGGGAGGTGCTCGGGGTCCCTGCTGGATGAGACCGTTGGGGGCTCAGCTCCTGAAGGGGGCGGTGCCAGCCTGCCCCAGGGCAAGCTCTCAGAAATGATGCGACACTGGCCGTAGGTAGGGAAACAGCGGCCAGGCCCCCGTGAGCCCAGCGCAGAGGCAGCTCCTACAGCGTGGGGACACAGGGACCCTGGTGGCGTCGAGACCAGGCCCCCACACCATGTGCTCACAGCATCTCCGAGCTCTGCCCCCCTGAGGGCCAGCACCTGTCCCCAGTCCAAAGCCAGTGTGAAGGGGCAGGGCCAGCCCTGAGCTGCTGCCAGGCGGGCCCGCGCTGTGCTGGCTGGGGCTGGCGCGGCCTGATGTCTCTATCCCGCCTGACAAAGCCGTGCAGTGGCCTGTAAAGAAATCGATCCTGCGCGCCCGCACTCCTCCCCAGGTGCGCTGACGGATGGCCGCGTCCTTCCCCAGCGCAGCTCCGATTCGGTTATCACTCTGTTTCTCTGGCTCTGGGTGACACTTGATAACATCTGCACTGAGACTCTCCGACCTTGTCCCCCGGCAGTCGTGTCTGCGGTGACGGAGTGTCGGCGCCAGGCCTCCAGACCCATTTATGAGCCCTGGTGCGGCTGCAGCCTCCTGGGGCCAGCGGCAGCCTCCCTGCTGGGTGACCTGTGCCCTCCCGCCACCTTCAGGAAGAGCAGTGGATGG